TAGTGTTATAGGATCTTTAACATTTCTTAAACAGACAGAGTTTAACATCTAATCCGAAGGAGGGCACTTTCAACAGTGCAGTACTGTACCAGCACTTTATTGGAAAGTCAGCCGAGACTGAGTTTAAAATCCTGTTTAGGGCTTAAACTCACAATCTCTACCTCAGAGGCAAGAGTGCTACCACCTGAGGAAGGCAAAAATGGAAGCCTTTGTTTATATAATACATTGTTCAATAAGCCCCAGAATAATCGTGAGGTCTATTTCTGGGTTCCACATATGAAAAGACTGCTTTTGCTCCATAAACTATATATTTCCAATACATACAAATATGGACGTGAAGCAATAGACAGCAAGAGCAAGTAAAAGAACATTCCAGCTATCATGATATAAGTGAGAATAAAATGAAAGAATGCCTAGAACAATGATTCTTTCTTTTTGTCTCTTTAAAATTGTGTGCCAAGAAAATGACAGTCTCGTGTTGCAACCATGGGATTTCACATTGATAATATCTACATTTCTTCAGTGGAACACGCAGGCTGGACAATTTTGCAATATAATTCCTATAAAATATCTGCCCTTGTTTGCAGTGGTTGCTGCTGCACTTTTGATTACCCCTCAACCTTCACGGCTTTGTCCTTGAATGGTTCAGATTGTACCTCTCTCAATGCCTCCACTTCATCTCCACAGACAGTTTCTCCTCCAGCCCCCGCACCGTCTCGTGCGGCGTTCCTCAGGGCTCTGTCCTCGGTCCCCTCCTCTTCAATATCTATATGCTCCTTCTTGATGACATCATCCGCAGACATGGGGTCAACTTCCACATGTATGCGGATGACACCCAACTCTAACTCTCTACCTCCACCCTTGACTCCAGGACCACTGCTGTCCTGACAGAATGTCTGTCACACATCAAGTCTTGGATGAGAGTTAATTTTTTTCAGTTGAACGTCAACACGACTGAGGCTCTCCTGATTGGCTCCTATCAGCGCCTCCACACCTCAGGCGCAGACAACATTACCATCCATGGATGCACATTCCACCAGTCCAGAATCTTGGCGTCTTGTTTGACCCTCAACTATCCTTTCTACCCCACAACTGTGCCGTGACCCGCTCTACCTTCCCCCACCTCCACAATATCACCCGGCTCCGCCACTGTCTCACACCGCAGGCCACCAAAACCCTCATACACGCTTTCATTACATCGAGGCTTGATTATGCAAACTCCTTGCTTGTCGGCCTCCCAAACTCCTCCCTCCACAGGCTGCTGATCATCCAGAATTCTGCAACCCGTGTCCTCTTCCTCACCAGGCTCCCTGACCCTATCACCCCCGTCCTTGCTCGACTTCACTGGCTTCCCATCACACAGATGATGCAGTTCAAGATCCTGGTCCTCGCCTTCAAAGCCCTCCATGGTCTTGCTCCCCCCTACCTCTGCAACCTCCTAACCCCCTATCATCCTGCTTGCTTCCTCCATTCAGCGGGCTTGGCTGCTTCATGAACCCCGTCTCGCTCACCCCACTATTGCGGGCAGGCCTTCTGCCATTCTGCCCCCACCTTCTGGAACTTCATTCCGCAGTCCCTCCACCTCGCCCCCTCCCTTGCCTATTTCGAGACCCATCTCAAGATGCTCCTCTTCGACCGTGCTTTTGACCTTCATGCTTTCCCCCCCCCAGCCTTCACCCTCTCCAATCTTGATCCCCAGCTCGGGTCTGAAAGTCTTGACTGTCCAGCGCCTTGGAATGTCCTCCTGATGTGAAAGGCGCTTTACAGATGTAATTTCTTTGTTGTTGTTATACATTGCCTATTTTGCAGGAAGTTACAGATCCATTTTTCTCTGCATTGTGGAACAACAATAACAACAACAAAATTACATTTGTAAACAGTGGACGGCATTGTAGTCAGAAGTGGAGTGTATTGTTGGTTGTTTTAAACTGAGGGTTTTGTTTTGTTAGCCGGGTGTCTGACAGATATGTAAACCCATCACCATGCTTAAGAGTTAGGATGTCCGCATGGTAACACTTTGGTGTCTCTCCCGTGTCGACACATTTATATTATCGAGTTGTCCCTCCTGCATTGTGGAGTGGATCGTAAATCCAAATATGACTCAGGTTTTAGCAGGTCGAAACTAGCAGTTTCACAATACCTGTTGCCGTCAGAGGTGGGTTTGCAAAATATATAATGGCAATAATCAGTTGGGCAGCACCTGTCATGCACCAAACAAGCCGTTGCACATCAGGAGAACTTGTGTGTCAGCTTGGCTCAGTGGGAGCACTCTCGCCTCAGAGTCAGAAGGTTGTGGGTTCAAGCCCCAAGTCAGGGGAAGCTTGGAGCTGACACTCCAATACAGTGCTGGGGTGTGTTGCAATATCAGAGGTGTTGTCCTTCAGATGACAAGTTCAACCGAGGTCCCGTCTGCCTGTTCAAGTGGACATTAAGGATCCCGTGACACTATTTGAAAAGAGAAGGGAGTTTATCCTGGTGTCTTGGCTAATAAATCTCCCAAATAAAATTGGTCACTCACTCCATGGCTGTTTGTAGAACATTAACGTGTGTAAGCTGGCTGCTGCGTTTTGCCCACAAAATACACAGTCACTTTACAGTATATCGTGTGAAGCACTTTGAGACCTCTCCACAATGTGATAAGGCGCTATATTAAATGCAAGGATTATGATTAACTCTGTTTCCATACAGTGTTGCAGTTCAGCTACAATGGAAGCAAACTAGAATACCTGTAAATGAAAATGGTGAAGAAATTGGGTGCATGGTTAACTAGCTTCAGTAAACAGGCTACAACACAAGGGTATTGCAGTCATTTCGGAAACTTGTTACCGCTCACACACTTGTGAAACTCCAAAGGCGATAAGGAGGTGTTATTACCTTCATTTCTTGTTCTTTTACTAAAAGAACAGAAATAACAATTAACATCAAACACTAATGCAACCTTTGTTCAGAAAAAGAAAACAAACTGCGTCAAGAAAGGGGCTCCATTTATGCCTAGATATCCTGTTTTGAAGTTGAATAAAATGTTACAAACAGCAAAGCAAAATGTATTGAAAAAGGGCTCCTCAGGAAAGTCACAGGATTACTGGTGCCTTGCTGCCAGAAAAGAAACTACACAACTTAAACTGCTTTGTCTGTAGGGAATTTCCTTTTTTTGGTCTGAAATAGGCTGGGGAGTCCACAGCCAGGCGAAACAAATATAAGATAGCGACTAGGGGATTTAAAAGAGAATTTAGGAGGAACTACTTCACACAGAGGTTGAGATTGTGGAACGCGCTGCTGGAAGTGGTAGTTGAATCAGATAGTGTAGATGCATTCAAGAGGAAGCCGGACCTTCATGTGAGGGAAAGCGGAATGGCAGGGTATGGGAGGGAATAAGGAATGAGTGAACTCGTGTGGAATGTAAACAATGGCACGGACTGGTTGGAATGAGCGGCCCGTTTCCGTGCTGTAATTTCTTTGTAATTCTTTATTAATTGGGTGTCAGACACGTGGAAACCTGTGCTTCAGGTTATCCAATCCAGACTCAAAGTTCCACGTATGTATGCTACTTACACCTACAATTTTCACTGAGTCTGGAATAGAATGTGCACTCTCTCCTGTAGGGACGCACCCTGCTTACCTAATGCCAGAGAATATTAGACACAGGTTGGCAAGGGCTCAAGGCTTGGGGACCCTAGATTGTGCGTTGGGTTACTGCTGGAGTTTAACCACTAAAGCCACACAATTTGCACATTGAGAGCGCTATCTGGCAGGCTTCCCGATGCTATCATAGCCAGGGCCAACGTACCCTGAAGGCTTTGAAAGTTGAAAGTGTGATATGTGCTGCAATAATTCCAAATTAAACTTTATGAATTTAAAATGCTAGCTGGTTTGGGAATATCTTCAACAGGGTTCTCTCTTCCCTTGTGTCTGAACATTACACCCTGGAAACCAGCACATGCTTTTGTACACTTTTATTCAGCAACTCTTCACTGCTGACATTAATGTACTCTTTGACTTCAGCCTCTGTGATATCAGACCTTTGAAACAGCCTCTGTTTCACTCCCGAAGGTACCTCGCCTGGACAATCACACCCTGGCAAAATGATTTACAAACAAAACTAAGTGTGTGTTGTACATTTATACTAAATAACAGATAGTTAGGGAATGAGTTCACAAAGCCTATGCAGAGCTTTGTCTGAGGATGATAGCGTGGGTGAGGTGAACTCCACAGTATGGTTGTTTATTTGTGGTCTCTAGAGGGAGTGGTCCTACCTCATTCCATGTTTTTTTATATGTTGATGTGAAATTGGAATAGCATAGGGCCATCCAAATCAGTGCTAGAGAAAGAAGTACTTGGGATGTCAGAGAGTAATGGTACTCTCCCAATAAGTGGTTTGATTGTAACAAGTGAAACTGAGCAATCAACATCAAGCCATGTTTACTAATTGATCTTTTGCTCAGACCCATGAGAGTAACTTAAGTCCATTTGCATTGAGCCAAGAATTCTGGACCCATTTAAGAAACAGTTTGGTGCTCTAATGGGAGAGTAGGTATCCTGGAAAGGTGAAATCCTTTGGGCAGAAGGACCTTCTTCATGTGAATCTCTTGTGAATACACCTTTGATTTTGTGGCATCAATGTGGGAACCATGGTAAACAGCACAGCAATGTTGACGGTCAGCATTGGCCATGTTGATCTGCACAAGGTGTTCTGTCCAGGGGCGGACTTGCTATGTGGGAAAATCGGGAAATTTCCCGTGAATGGTTCCCGAGCTCCCCCATGAATGGCTCCTGATGCTTACCACCCGGGCAGCCTAGATCAGAAGTTCCATTTAAGTCTGATAACGTTGTTAAAAGCATGGATGTTTTCTGCTTTTTGGCACCCCACAAATCAGCTCCCATTTTACATGACAATCCAACTGACTTGTAATTAAACATTCCTCCCTCTTAACAGGTTTATTACAGGTTAAACAGATGAAACATTAAGCTGCTTATTTACATCTTTGTTTCTCCTCTTTCAGATTCAACACTGCTTCAGTTATTAGGCATACTTTACCCAGGCCCCAACCTGTTGAATCCCCAGACACTCAGAAGAAGCGTCGCATACACAGGTGTGACTTTGAGGGGTGTAACAAAGTGTACACAAAGAGCTCACACCTCAAAGCACACAGAAGGACACACACAGGTAAGAGTAGCCTCCTGCCTTATCAACAAGTATCGTCTTCCCTGTTACAGTAAAGAAAATGAAATAGCAACTGCCTGCTCAAACAGTCTGCACATTCACACCATTTTAATCATATTGTGCAGGGAAGTCTGTAATTGTAGATTTAAGCCTCACATCAAGACTTGGAATCTAAGGTGACACTCAAAAACAGTGCTGGGGGTGTTTTGCATTATCGGAGTGCCATCCTTCGGATGAGACATTAAACCAAGGTCCTAACTGCTTGTTCAGGTGGACGTTAAAGATCCCAAGGTGCTATTCGAAAAGAAAAAAAGGAGTTTCTCCCAGTGTTCTGGTCAACAATTCCCCCCAAAAATTGATCACTCGCTCCATGGCTGTTTGTGGGTTATTGCTGTGTGCAACTGTCTGCCACGTTCTGCCCACAAAATACACAGTCAATCTACTTTACAGTGTATCCTGCAAAGTATTTTGAGGCATCTCAACGATGTAATAAGGCGGTGTATCAAATACAAGGATTATTATTATTATTTCCAAGGATGTTGTAGATTTACAAGAATGTTGCTGGAGATGAATGGATACAGCTATTGAGAAAGATCGGGCAGGTTAGAGCTTTTCTCGTTGGATTTGAGAGGGAACCTGAAAGAGGTGTTTTAAGTTTATAAAAAGATCCAATAAGGTAGATGTAGATAGACCTTTTACACTTGTTGGTGCGAATAAAATGAGATGGCATAAATATCTAGTGATGGATTAAATAGGGAGATCAGGAGGAATTTCTTTGCAGTCGTGAAAATGTGAAATTTACTGTCGGAAGCTGTGGTTAAAGCAAAAAACATCAATGTATTTAAGAGAGAACTTGATGCATACATCTGGGAGAGGGGAATAGAGAGGCATAGTAGGGGTGGAGGTTTATGTGGAGTATAAACACTGACATAGACACGTTGGGCCAAATGGCTTTTTCCTGTGCCGTATTCTTTCTATATAATTATGTAGTAAGTGTGCTGGGAAAAGTAATAAACAGTGAGGAGGATAGTAGCAGACTGCAAATGGATATAGACAGACTAGTAAAACGGGCAGACAGGTGGCTGATGAAGTTTAATGTGGAGAAATATGATCTGATGCATTTTGGGAGGAAGAATGAGGAGAGGCAATATAAGCTGATGGTACAATCTTAAAGGGGGTGAAGGAACAGAGAGACCTGGGGGTTCAAATAAGCAAATCTTTGAAGGTGACAGGACAAGTAGATAAAGCTTTTTTCACACAGCAAGTTGTTTGGATGTGGGATGCATTGCTTGAATGGGTGGTGGAAGCCATTTTGATAACAACTTTTAAGAGAGAAGTAGATAAATTATTTGGGGAGGACAAGTTTGCAGGGCTATGGGGAGAGAGTGGAGGAGTGGGATTGATTTGGATAGCACTTTTCAAAGAGCCGGTACAGACACGATGGACCGAATGGCCTCCTTCTGTGCTGTATAATTCTATGATTGTATGATTCTTTGTCCAGTTCGTCAGAACTTGTCAAAGAGATCAAACAGCTTTTCATTTATCTTTATTGGCTGGAGTTAAACTCTCAGGTTGACTGCAGGATTTTATTAACTCCTATTGAATTTTCTTAAAAGAGTACAGTGTCATCAGATACCGGAGATGATTCATTCTGTTGGATATGTGAATTAGTCTGCTTTTGCACAACAAGACGCCTGTTTTTAGATACATGTTTTTGCTACAGACACAAAGAAATCCATGCAGAAAATCTAAATAAAAACTGAAAATGTGAAGACGTGTATAAGATCAAACACTATCTGAAAGAGAAGTGCATGCAAACAGTTCAGCAGAACTGCTTCTTGTGTTCTGAAAGGTCACAGGTCAAACTTGTTAGATATTGCCCTGTTGAGCATTTTCTATGAATTATATTTCTTCTGAACTAATATAAATTATTAAGTAATTGCTTAGCTTTTACTAATAAATGACCAACCGCCTAGTTTCGTCATGACTCTTGGGTTCAATACTAGGCAAGTAATAATATAATAATAATAATAATAATAATAATCCTTGCATTTGATATAGCGCTTTTCACGTCGGGAGGACGTCCCAAAGCGCTTCACAGAAGACACTGTAAAGTGAATTGACTGTATATTTGTGGGCGAACGCGGCAGCCAATTGCGCACAGCAATGTCCCACAAACAGTCGTAGATTGAAAATGACCAATTTGTTTTTGTTTTTGTTTTTTTGGAGGGATTATTATTAGGCTCTGTGTGGAGTAAGGAAACTTGCCTAAGGTTTCGCCCTGCCTGGAATTGAACTCAGGTCTCTCGCTTGCACTAACCACTGAGCTACAGGACTCCACTCCATTATAATAATAATAATAATCCTTAGCTAATTCTGTGATCATTTGAAACCATCTGTTCTGACTACATTTCTGTTCCTCTTTTCCCTCAAGGTGAGAAGCCCTACAAATGCACCTGGGAAGGTTGCACATGGAAGTTTGCTCGCTCAGATGAGTTAACCAGGCACTACCGCAAGCACACTGGAATCAAGCCTTTTCAGTGCCCTGACTGTGACCGCAGTTTCTCTCGCTCTGATCACCTTGCCCTCCACAGAAAGCGTCACATGTTGGTCTGAGTTTCGATCCTCTCCTTTTCTAACTTGCGATATTAACTGGACAAAATGCAAACAAAGCAAATATATTAACCAAGATTCAAGATTCAGCTGGGCCGAATCCTTCATAATTGAACAGTTTCACTTGATCAGTACCTGATGCGCAAAAAAATGCTCAGTCTTGTTGTTCCAGGCAGGGGTCAGATTTAACAATGTGAATGTTTTAATGTTGATGCATAGCATTTCCTACTGAGTACACAAGGCTGGGCAATTTTACCTTGTATCAAACCACATCTTTTGTGCAGTTTTTATTGTTTGGTGAAATTTAAGATTCTGCTGTTGATTAACCCTTGATTGATGAATTATCAATTTAGCCATAATTAAAAACTTAGTTACCTGTTAAGCATTTTTCATCTTGCCAGAGAGATTCTCTCATCAGTGCAGTATGTTTTGAATGTCATTTTCTTCACCAAAAACAGCAAACCTCATATACAACATGAATTTTCGTCAAGAGATTTGTGGATGTTTTAGTCTTTGTGTCAGAGAAAGATCTCTTAAGTTGCAACAAAGACTGAGTGATGGCTTTATTGTGAGGCTACATGAGCAAACAGCTGAAGACAGGAGAGGGCACAGCATACCATGCAATTGGAGGATGCTACTCATTTTGACTGTTGTTTGTAGACGCATTTCAAGATTACAGTCATCTCCTGCTTCCATGGACTGTCCTTCAGTAATGTTACTGTTAGAGCTTATTTCTGAAATAGCATGGCAATATCATGAGCTTCAATGTTAATTTCAAACAGAGCAATAACGGTTGCTCTTCATATTGAAGGCATGGTTTGCAAATACAGTGGAACCTCATTGACGTACAAACTCTAAGCATAAACAAACTCTTATTTAAGCACAGACCTGTTGGTAATCAAACTAGTTTCATCTATCCCCAGTGGAAACTCCATTAAAGTCAGTAGGGATACTCCCATCTGAATAAAGAAAAAAATTAAAAAAGGGCGATAGTATCTGGTCCCACGAGTCTGTAATAATGAGGTTTGACTGTATGTTCTTTGTCTCCGGTTGTGCAGCAGTCTTTATCATCGTTGTCTGTTCCTATCATTTAGAACTTGTTACCCAACTTAAGACAAATGAAAAATCAGAAAACCAGGATTTTCCAGATAAAATATTATAATTTGCTAGAATTTACAAACTTGCAAATATTTGTTGAGTTTTTAAACAAAATCGTTGAAACAAACGTTCAGTGAGGACTTACTTTAGTGACATTCAATCTGTTAGCCGGATAAAGTAGTAATCCTGCTTTGATAAACTCCCACTCTGGAAAACAGGAGTCCTGTAGCTCAGTGGTTAGAGCACTCGCCTTGCAAGCGAGAGACCTGGGTTCGATTCCCGGCAGAGCGAAACCTTGGGCAAGTTTCCTTACTCCACACACCTGATAAATAATCCTTCAAAAAATAATAAAATTGGTCACTTCAATCTGCGACTGTTTGTGGGACACTGCGGTGCGCAATTGGCTGTTGTGTTTCACCCACACATATAATCAATTCACTTTACAGTTTATTCTGTGAAGCGCTTTGAGATGTCTAGAAGACGTGAAAAAGCACTATATCAAATGCAAGGATTATTATTATTAACTTTAAAAAGGTTGGGAATCAACTAAGAATTGATAGGAATGAATAATATGTACCTGTAAGAACAAATGTTGTGTTGGACATTTCTAGCACATAACGTACTCTTCCAAATGAGGCACTTTATGAAAGCTTGTTTCAATTTATTGCACCAATCATTTTTTATTCTAATGATGTAGGGTGGGGTCAATTGTATTGAGCTGCTCTGAAAATGACATCAGTCTCATTGAACCCTATGTATAAATACTATTTTCCTATCGGTTGCTTGCCTACAGTTGCGACTCCTGTGATTGCTGAGCGTGTAAGTGATGGAAATATGCTTCCTGTGTGCCATTAACACAAATGTTTTGGTTATCATTACATTTGCAGTCCTATAAAATAATTAGTGTTGTGTCATTGACTTCAATTCACCATATGATTTTTTTTATCTGATATTTTAGCTTATCTATTTTTTTAAATAAAATAAAATTGGCATAGGAATGGCTCTTCAAATCTACTGTTTGGATTCCAATATTTCTTTCAGCCTTTTTAACTATGTAAAGTGGAAACCTTGGCTGATATGTCCATATTTCCCTTCCTATCCCAGAGTTTCTCAGGCCAATTGTAGAACCCAAACGTTTCCCAGGTTGAGATCAGCAAACTCAACAACAACAAATTGCATTTATACAGTCGTGAGGATGTCCCGAGTCGTCAGGAAGGCGTTTTCAAACAGTTTGTTTCACAGGTATTCTTCCATAATTTAAGAAAACAATGGTAGTAAATAAGATGGACATAGTGATCTTCACAATTTAACAATATGTTTCCATGACACACCAAAAGTCGGAAATTCCACCTAGAAATAGCATGTATTTTGTCTTAAAATTGTATATCCTGTGAAATTCTGGCGAATTCTTAATTTGGAAGCTGTTCTTTTCTTTAAGAACTGTGGAAAAGTGTTCCAAATTAAAATTTAAAAATGTAAAATTCTTAAAATTTCACCCAGTCTTACAGGCTAAGACTAGCTGAAATTTCAGGCCTCTGGTGCTTAAAAAAAGCAATTTTTTGATAAGTTCTTAGAATGCGAAATAATGTAATGAAAGCAATTGCATTATGATAGACCCCAGACATAAACTAAACACAATTTCTTAGATGACCCATGTGGCAAAACAATATCAATCCTATTTAAATTCTTAATCTTGGAGGCATTAAATCACTGTGTGCACACAACAGCATTCCCATTGTATCACAACAGTAAATATAAGTATTGGTGTTTTCCAGCAGCTCTCTGCACTGTAGATAAAAACTTCTGTCGTGCAGTGGGAAATTCAAGCATTGCTTGATTACTCGTTTAGGGAGGAGAGAGAGAGAAACACAACAGTTCTTATTTTGACTGAGTTGAATGAACGTGAATACTGGGGAACAAAACATTCCATGCAATTAAGATATTGCTCGGCAGGGAGATCAGATTCATAGATTTACATAGATCGTACAGCATGGAGCATGGAAACAGGCCATTTGTCCCAACTAGTCCATGCTGGTGCTTAAACCATACAAGTCTTCACCGATTCTTTATCCCCTCCCATATCCTTCTATTCCTTTCTCCCTTGTGTGTATGTGTATTCACAGGCAAGTTTTGCTTTGGTAGATTAGGATTGATGAATATCTGGGATATGCGAGTACAATGATCTGTGGTAGCTGGCCTGCCAAATGAATTTGAGTCATTCTTTTTTTCTTTTAAAACAGTGGCACTGGCTTTCTGTACTTTAGAGGTGTGGGCATCTAGTATGTTAGCCTAGGAGTTTTTTTTAAACAAAAAACCCACTTGTAAAATGGGTGCAAATCAGGTAATGTTCACAACGTAAATAGTAAATGTGGTGACAGATTGTTTTGTTAAGTTTTATATAAAAAATTAGTCTCATTGCTTCATAAGAATTTTTTTAAAAAATTAATGTGGTAAAGTAAGGGTGTGGAACGAATATGAAACCTCTTGTTAGTAGTGAATGCCATGTATTGTGTCATTTACTGAGGTGGGAAGGGAAGGTTTGGACACTGTGCACAAACTTTCAACCAATTCTCACTGTTTAGATTTACAGAATGTGAATTTTTACTTGTTTTGAGGGGGGAGGGTGTACCATATTTTTTAGATATTTGTTATTTTTGGGTGGAATAACCAGAGAGAGCATCAAGAAACAATTGAAGCAAAGGCGAGAGATGCTGCACAGGTGAAATATATATTTTTGTATGTGGCAAAGATGATATTTTAGGGCACTGTACAAAGACAGTTACATTAAGCATTAATTGATCCCAAAAGAGTGGCTTGATGTGATTGACTGCTCGAAGCAACTCTATGCACCAACCAGGTCTGCTATGATGCATTATATTGCACATTATATTGTGAATCCTAAATGAAAATATTTACTTTTTTAATTTATTCCTTTGAACTTCTAGTTTTAATGTTAATATTTTAGAACTTTTATTGGTATAAATCTTTTTTCCACTAGAGATTTGCCGTAAGTGCTTGCATAACGCAACGTTCAATGCAGTATTTCTGAACTAGTTACAGTACAAATAAAATGTCCCTAACTACAGCAACTTCTGATCTGCTGCCTGCTTAAAGAGAAGATCATAGTGATAGGGGTGGGGGGGAGTGGGGAAGGTGATTTAGAAAGCTTTTGCCAGCAATAATTAACCTTCTTTAAGAAGTCCTTACTTTGAGAACTAAAATTAAACACCCCAGTATCTTCACAAAAAAGACACAAAAAACAATGAATTTCAGAGTAGCTCGAACGACAGGCATTTCATTCCATCCACAAAATTGTTCGATTGACTTCCCAGGTCGACTGTCCCTTGAATTTGCTTGCCTCAAGTTGGCCGACTGTGCTCAGATTTCAACCAGACTGATAGGGTGGAAGGGAAAGTGAAGAGTGGAGGAGGATATTTGGGCAGTTCGTGTTGGTTGAGCCATTCATGGCATTTTTTTCTAAATAAAAAACAGTTTGAATTTTCAAAGGTGCATTTTGCAATTTTTTCATTGCCCTCGTGATTTGTTGGAGGATTCTAATGTGTTCACCTCCAGTTTAAATAAATCCATTAAGAGCTTAGAGTTATGATCTTTCATCAGAACTGAAAGCCTGGAAGCAGCTTGTTCAATCCAGAGGCCTAGAATTTCACCTTTTAGCTTCCAAGACCATTTTGCCTCACAATTTAATATTGCGTAAGAGTGTGGAAAGTGCCTCATTTCAGTCTTAATTTGGAAGCAGGTTTCTGAGGAAAGATGGCTTCCAGATTAAGACTAAAATTAATATATACTCATTATCTGATCCTTTGTGTGTGTCTGGTTAATGGTATTAAAATTTATAAACTTTGTAAAACGCTTGTTTTCTTGATCTGGCCTCATTTATTTCGTAAATGCTAATCAAGTACTTATCAAGCTCAGTCGTTTTGAGGGATAACAGAGGATCATGCCACAAATCTTAATCTATTCTCTTTTCAACGATGATTGACCTGCTCTTGATATCCAGCATTTTCTGGTTTTATTTTCAGCACTTTTTTTGGTACCTCATCCAAAAACATCATCTTCATTGGCTCTCTCACCCCGCCCTCCACCCGTGAAGATAATATTTACGGTTTAGAGACATCTCAGTTTATAATGTTCTACCTTGTGTGTGGCTAGTAATATTTCACCTGCTCAGCATCTCAGCATCTTGTTGCAACTCTGGACTGCACCAGCAGGTTTATTGCTGTTAGATTATAATAGGATAAAGTGTTGATGAGACGGAATAAGTAATTCTGGGTTTTCAAAAAGTCTTTTTAACTTTATTGAGGGAAAGGAAAAACAATAGTGCCTGCAGCCTGTAGAATTAAAGATGTGAAATTTTAAATACTTTTACTGTTTCTTTAACATTTCTAGGTTATTTGTCCTATGGGAGTTTAGTAATGACATTTTGTCATATCAAACTGTGAAAACAAATTTGTACTGTACAGTCTTATTCTATATTCAATATATATGTATTGTACATCTGTCAATAAATCTGTATATACATTAAAAAATGTGTTAGTCATTTACTTGTCCATAAATATGTTGCATATTTTGAAATTGAGGAATTTCTGAATGGACTCAATTTTTCGATTAAAGAACAAGGTATTTTGAAATACCCACATCTGAATAATGTTAGTGCCATTATTCTTGGATGGCGACTGCTGTTTTAAAGCCAGAGTTGCCTTTTGGTGTCAATTTACAAGATATCCATTTAGTTGTCATTATACTTTAAAGAAGCAGCATTGCCTCTAGTTTAACTCAATTTGTGTCAGCCTGGCTCAGTAGGTAGCACTCTCACCTCTGAGTCAGAAGGTAGTGAGTTCAAGCCCCACATTATCACCTGGAACTCACAGTCTAAGATGACACTCCAATTGCAATGTTGGAGGTGCCGTCCTTCAGATCTTATGGAGCGATTCAAAACAAAATTGGTTGCCGCATTCTTCCACAAACAGTCACCGCACTTTACATATATCCTGTGAAGTGCTTTGGGACGTTCTCCTGGCATAAAAGGCACTATACGACTATTAGCATTAATTTCTGCTTTATAATGTAATGCCTCCATTTAATAACACAACAGCACTTTACATTTAGACAGCACTTTATTGTCTGAAGCAATTCACACAGCGGACTGTGAGTCCAACCCTGATGGGTTGCTGGTGAAGGTGGCCAACAGTGCAATCAAAAAACATCTCAAATCAACCCCGGTGATAATGGAACAAATCTACTTCTCCTCCAGCTACGATTCCAGATCCACCGATGTTCTCAGCTTGTCTGGTGGACATCAGAGCCTAGAAGAGTGAAAGCTTCCCAAAACTCAAGCCATGCTCATTGGCTCCCGTCGACGTCTTCTATCCTGTGGCTCTGACTTCCTCAACCTTCCCGGCCTAGCCCTCAGACTTAACAAAAAGGCACACAACCTAGCCTTCAGATTCTTCCCTTCCCGCATCTGGTCCTCCACCTCTGTCATATTGCCCGTCTCCGACCATACCTTACCCTAGACGCAGCCAAAACACTCGTCCATGCGTTCATACCTTCCAACTGGACTTCTCAAATGCTCTCTTGCCGGTCTCCCCAGTTCCACCAAGCATAGGATCCAACTGATCCAAAACTCTGCCGCCCACATACTCACCCGTACTAAACTGCGTACCCCCATCACACCAGTTCCAGCCAAGCTCCACTGAATGGGTGGAATTCAAGATCCTCACATTGGTTTTCAAATGCCTTCATGCCCTGGCACCTCGCTACCTCTCTGACCTGCTTACCCCACAATCCACTACCTACTGCCTCCGCTCGACTGTTTCTGGCCTGCTGCATGTCCCTCATGCCCTTCATTCCACCATTGGTGGCTGCGCTTTCAGCCTCTA